CCCCGCCGCAGGCCGGCGAGGCTGCGCACGGGGCGGGGCCGGCCCGGAGACTACAACTCCCAGGATGCAACGGCGCCGGCGGCCTCACTTCCGGGTCGCTCGCGAGCAAGGCGCGCCGGGACGTGTGGTTTCTAAGCGACTGTTAACTCATTGTTCGCATTGCATACTGGGATTGGCCCTTTCGAAACGCGGAGAGGGCCGGCCGCGAGCGGAACGTGTTAAAACTCCGGGTTGTTCCTGGTGGGCATGGAAGGCTGAAACGTCAGCGCGCCGCGTGGCTTATCACGGGTGCTGGTGTGCGTGCGGGCCAGCAACCGGAAAATGAGGAGCTGGTTTGCCAGACGTCGCTGTGGTCTCTGATAAAGAAGTCTATTTGGCTTGTCCTACTTTTTATGTTATCGAGATCATTTGAGTACTTTGGACGCGTCCCTTGAGACTATGTGGTTTTTCTCATTCAATCACTCTTCCATTTAGTAACATTTAGGTTCAGCATGCCAGGATGCCAGGTTATTGGCCTAAGAATGCAGGCGTGGGGCCGGCAGGAGGCGTGGTGGTTGCGGTGCTGGACTCCCACATGGGGGACAAGTGTTCTAGTCCTGGACCTAGTGGCTTGCTTTCTCACTTTCTCTCTCTGGTCATAGTTAAATTTAAAAACAGAAAACATAATAATAGACATTTCTGCTCTCATGAAGCCTGTAGTTGAGCACCAGATACAACAGAATACCATTATTTATGTTCCTGCTCTGAGACCTGCTGGTGTCCTGGTGGCTAAGGTGCTGGATTCCCACATGGCCTACCAGTTTAGTCCACAACCGGAAGACTGGGGACTTGCCAGGCGCAAGTGTGTGGGTGCTCAGAGAATGAAGGAGAGGGGATTGTGACATGGTGCCTTCCTCTCCTGGGGGTTTTCACTTTCCCTCTCCCTGTTTCTGTCCAGCTAGTGCATGTGCCCTATGGCAAAACCTAAAAAAATTTAAAAATACATAAATGTCCCTGCTCTTCATGCAAAGTGGGTGTTGCTGGGTATTCATCACACTAAGAAATGTGAAAAACACAGGAAGCCATGAGTATAGAACAAAGACCTTGCCAGTCTGGGAGTAACATCAAGTGAGACTTGGCCCGAACTATGAAGGATTAGGGGGACCCAGGCGGTGCGAGGGTATGAGCATGGAACAAAGAGCATGGCAGACTGATGAATCTGCACACGGAGTGAGAAGGCAGAGAGTGAGCAAGATGAGCAAGATGAGGACAGGGTCTAGCCAGGTGGCCCACTGCAGAGTCACTGTTGGGAGAGGCAGGAGGCTGCACGGAAGACATGGGTTCTGTCCCTGGATTTCATCCAGCTATCCTAGCTGACTGGGAGCCTTGGCAGTAGGATCAGAACACACTGAGACCCTGTCAAAAATACCTATCCTATGCCCCAGCCTAGGTGGCACAGTCCACAGTGTACCGGACTGCAGAGCAGGAAGCTGGCTGTGGGTTCAGATCCCTGGGACAGCCTGAAGACACTGGGCAGAGCTGCCCATGATCCTGACAGCTGGAAGGCTGCAGAATCTGAAGCGGGCGGGCACTCTGATGAGGGTACACTGCTCCTTGTTTCTCATGCCATTAAAACAAATACAAACTGCTGGGACCACCTTGCTGGGACCGGCTCAGCATGAACGTTTCTGAGTAAGGAAGGCAGGCTGTGAATTAGAAGTAGACGCATTAACCCACACACAGACACACAAGTATAGAAAAGCGAGGATCAGAGGGCACACCTTCTCTGACGGAGAAGTTGCCACCAGAACCAGCCTTGCATTTGTTTTCTTAAAGGGTAGAAAATGGGGGAAGGGGAAAATGGGATGTAAAAGGAATAGGGAAGAAAGAAGTGGAAAGCAGAGAATAAGGGAGGAGAAATTAGAATGCAAAGCTGGTTGTTTTCGGATGTAAATCATCTGAAGATGTGAAAATGACTGGCGCCATATAATTTCTCTGATTTTTTGGGGGGGATAAGTTGATAAATTCATGTGACCTCCTTAAGCCCGATACTGCCTGGGCAGTTTTGGGGTATTAACAACAGGCAGATACTGCTTTCCTATGTGGATGCCTCTTAATAGCCCTGCTGGAAGCACATTCTGCATGTGTCCACAGGCCACATGTTCTATGGCGTTTTCACATTGGCTGTTCTCCACAACAGCCCACCTCAGGCCAGCCATGGTAGCTAGCACAAGGTTGAGACCACACGCCAAAGTCCTAGGTTTGTACCCTGAGATCTCTCAGGACATGCAGGCCCATATGCCCATGTTCCCTGACGGGGATGGGATCAGAGTGGTGACTTTCTCCCGTTTGTATTTTAATTTCTCACGTTCTGATATAGGACACACATGCTCATCAGAGAAATAGAAACAGGGAAGCGTGCTGTCACCTCGAGAAGATGGTCACACAACAAACCCATCTTCTCCATTCTCCTTTTGGAATTTTGGGCACACACACATATGCTGTTTCCCTAGCTACTGAGTCCAGGACCTGAACCACAGCCAGCCATGTGGGATCCAGTGCCTTCATCATCACATACCTGCTGGCCGGATTAGTCTTTTTTTCCTAAAAAGAAGAAGGGATTGCTGCGTGGCCAACCCTCCCCTCCCACTGGGGGGGGGGGATTTCCCGCTTTCTGTCTCTCTTTCCGGTGAGCACACACGCCCTATAGCAAAAAACTCTTTCAAAAAACACAAACAAAATCCCCCCAAGAATGATTCTATTCCATTTATTTTTTAAAAAAATCTGATCAGAGACACACAGAGAAAGGGGAAGTGAGAAAGTAAGCCACCAGGTCTGGGACTCCGGTCCCTCTGGTGAATGTATGCACGCTATAGCAAAACTCTTAAAACTAAAAAATAATTTAATTCCATTTGTCATTCTTAATTGACCAGAGAGAGAAAAAAAGGAAAGCGAGAAAGCCAGCCATCAAGTCTGGGACTCGTACCACGGTCGGCCATGGGAATCCAGCACCTTTATCCACCATGCCACTTGCCGGCCCCAGCTATTAAAACTTTGTTACAAAACATACTGTAATGACAATTCTGCACTAATTAATACCATTGAATAGTTCCTCAAATACTGCAGAAACATAAGCTGTCCCAAGAGAGATTTTTGCTATAGGGTGTGGATGCTCTCTGGAAATAAGAGAAAGCGAGAAAACTCCCTTCCCCATGGCCACACTATATAATTCATTTTCCACTTGAGATCTTGGACACGCATGAACGTGTGCCTGGCTTGTTTCAAGCCGTTGGGTCTGGGACTCAAACCATGTTTGGCCACATGGTAGCCCAGTGTCTTTACTATACTACCTGCTGGCCCCATCTGAAGGACTTTCCTAAGCCAAGCCAAGAATTACTTTATGGCAATAAAAGTAAACTAAGAGTTTTTTTGTCAGAACACAAATGCCTGCCAGAAAGACAAGGGAGAAAGCACCCCCCGTGGGGCATAGTCATGCCCAATCCCTCCTTTCATCTTTCTGTGTCAAGATTTGCAGCAGGCACACACATGAACCTGGTGTTTTTCGACTTCAGGGTCTGCATGTGGTATCCAGTCCCCTTCACCACTGGACAATAGGTTGGCTCTTAACTTCGAATTTTGCTGTTCTCCCACCATCCTGATTTATGCCCTAGCCATTTGGTTACAAGGTAGCTTTTAATATTATTGCTTATGCTGGAGATTTCAAAAGAGATAATGAGCAAAGGGCATACAAAGGACTTGTTATAAGGCACTTTATTAAAATAAAAGTGCTTACATCCCTTTAATCTATTTCCTGAATAACATATGGAATACTTAAACACTGTACACTGGTTTCACCTTCTGTAATAGTAGGAAAACAGTATTATTTTAATGTCTTGTTGCTCCTCTCCCTTTTACATTTTTGCTATGGTATTATCTATAGCAATTAACTGTTCCTTAAAAAAAAGTGGAAAAAAATGGGAAAAAGGGAATTTCTAGCTAGTGTTTTCTAAGAGCAACTGCAAGATGCTATAGAAATCATAAAAACAAACTCAAAACAAAGATTCCATGTAACTTAAATTAACACCAGTTTTGAGAAAACAGTTTTTATTATCATCACCACCCAGCTTATTTGTGCTGGATTACGTAGCCAACGGCCAGATCTTCTAAAGGACATCTACACAACATTTCTTTCATGTTTCAAGAGATGAAAATAACTGTACAAGGTTAAGTACAAAAGTACACAAGACAGAGGACACGAAAAAATCCATGTATGAGATTTTATCCCACCTGCTGCTTTTATATATTTGAAAAGTAGAATTCAAAACTAAAAAATATTGTCCCTCTATAGTTCTGTCAAGTTTAATGGAAGTGGGTTTAACCTGATTACAACACTAACACCAGTATCACTGATCTGATATTTACAAAAATTGTATTTTTCAATAAATTAAAGTCAATGCAACACCCATGCAAGCTAGAATGCTAGCTGTTTGGTGAACAAGGACCTGACATCAGAACAAGTCAATGAAGTCCCAAACTTTACAAGTGTGATCTTTTTCAAACTGCATCCATTCCTCGCATCGAAGATGTGAAACCCAAACCCATTCCTCTCTGTGTGTGGGTCTGTGATCTTGCCATTTCATACTGAGCATCTAGATTTCTAAATACTTCTTCCTGTTGCTTCAAAGTCTTGTAACTTTCTTCATCAACTGAGCTACACCCAGCTTCATCTTCACTCTAAGTATCAGATATAAAATATTAACATAAATTCAGATGGGAACAAAAGTGCCTCTCACTTGACAATACTGTTAAGTCATACTTTTCAGATACACATTTGACCTCAATTACGGAATTTCCACTCAATCATTAAGTGCCTACAGAGTGTGAGGAAATGCTTTTTCTAGGTCTGAAATACAATAGGGTTTAACAATATTAATTCCATTTCAGCAGAGCAGGACAAATAAAATGCAGGACCTGTCAGTGTATAAATGCCACAAAGAAAAGTACAGTAGAAAATGGAGCTGTACGGTTAAAGAAATGGAAAGGTTTGTTTTTGTAATGGGAAAGGTGACATCTGAGCAGAGATAAGAAGTCAAAGAGCCATGCAGCAATCAGAGGGAAAAACCATGCAGGGAAAGCTTAAAGCAGATATGTAAGTCCTCTGGCACACTGAAGCAATAGTCAGATTAGTTGAAAACAGTCCCCTCAATGAAAAATCAATCCTCATATTTACTTTCAAAAGAAATCCACTTTTCACTATCAACAAATGTGTTCATTCAAGGTTAACAATTTGAGCTGTCAAAACAGGGAAGGCTTTTAGTTTAGTTAATGTCATATTTCAGTCTGCAGAACATAAACAGGAGAGCAAAAAAAAGTGCCCAGAGTTGACATACCACTGAAATAACATTTTAAAGTTGAAAATGTATTCCTGAAATTAGAAGTTAACCATATTTTAGTAAAAAGTATAACTTACCTTAATACCCATTAATTTCCTAAATTTGACATTTTGGTCCTTGTTTCCAAAATTTAATTTTTCCCATATTTCAGCAGACTGAGACTTGTCCTGTTAAAAAATACAGAACCTTAGAGTACATAAACTTTAAGTATCTTTCACTAGCATATTAAATATCTCCATAATGTAAATCTAAAACAGCAGCATTATGGCATTCTATCAGTAAAATTTAGGGACCAGCAGTTGGCATAATGGCTACGTCGCTGGACTCCCATGTAGTCGACCGCGGTTCACATCCTGGACCCGGTGGCTTAAAACTCACACTGGGCGTGTGTGCGTGTGTGCCTAAGATCCTGAGAGGAGAATGGAGGAGAAGGGATTGTCATGTGACCATACCCCCTGGGGTGTGATTTCTCGCTTTCTGGCTGTCTCTCTCTCTCTCTCTCTCTGTTGAGCGCACGCGCCCTATAGCAAAAACCTCTCAAAAAATTTAATTAAAATTTATAACTGATATTTATGTTTATGTCAATATTAAATAACTGACAAATGAAACCATTCCAAACAGGTTCTTGGAAGATAAGCCCAAACGTGTGTTTTCCAACTCAAACATGCTTTTCTAAGCAATTAGCCATTAAGATAAAAACAAACAAAACCCAAGGGAGGGGGATAAAAACTTACCCCTTCTTTCTTGCCTTGCCAAAGCATTTTCCGTTTTTTTTCTTGTTCAGCAAATTTCATTGGATTCACAGCCGCTGGGTTATAGTAGCTAGGTACAGCTATTCCGGTCTCTGCCAGAGCTTTAGCTTGCAGGGCTGCCATCTGAGCTGCCATTGCAATCTGAGGTGTCACTTGTGTTCCCGATGCCAACAGGGCAGCAACATTGAGCACAGAACCTCCAGTAGCTGCAGCTGCTGAACACAGAAGTAGAATTTTAAGAAATAACCCTCCTGATTTGTATTAATACATCACATATAAAAAGTTACTAATCTACAAAAGAGAGAACTATTTTCACACAAATAGGAGCAAACAGGACGTTAGCGTCTAAAGTAACATTTTAGTAAATGTTTATTGAGCATGTTATTCAATGAACTTATTTCTGCCTATGACCCTTAATACATATACATTAAAACCTTACTCTGCTGAGGATAAAAAAAATTCTGCAAATAATAAAGTATGATTTCAATGGAAATAAACTATGACTCTAAGGGCCATAATTATAATAAAATAAAATCTTTTATTTGTAATTTTTTTAAATAGTTTGTTAAATGTCTTCATAAACATCTCACCTCAAATTTATTAACTTTCAAAATTTAAGCAGGCACAATATAGATACACAATGTAAAAGATGCCAAGGTCAAATCCTATAAAAGTTAAGTGCCAGGTCTGGTGTTTTCATCGTGGGTTTGTTAGTCTTCTAGAAATAGAATATTCTTCTAAATATGTATTAAAAAAGGAAAAATTTTCCTCCTCTCTACAGTCCATGTACTTGATGGAACCTGAGAGTAAGAAACAATGATAGAGCAACCCCAAGGGGGGATGGTCATGCTGCAGTCTCTTGTCCTCCAATCTCCTCTTGGCACTACTTATTAAGAATATAAAAAACAAAAACACCATCTGGATTATATTTCACATAAAACCAGTAAGATAACCTTCCAAAACACAGAGGCAATGTCTTTATTAAGTCGAAAAATTTTTATTTCTTGAAGCAGTCAACAATACATACTCCAGATCGGTTAACTTTTACCTTTACTTTATTTCTAAAATCATAACTAAAAGACATTTGTAGTGATGACATTTGAAGTGCTACACAAACAACAACAAAAAAAAATCACCGTTCACTTACCAAAAAATTGTAGGAATGATCCAAATCAAAAAAATATATGCAGGGCCCAGCAGATGGCGTGGCAGTTAAGGGCGCTGGACTCCCACATGGCCAACCGCCATTTGAGTCCAGGACCTGGCTGTTTGCTTTCTCACTTTCCCTCTCTCTGACTCACTGTCCCTTTCAGGTAAAATAAATAAATAAATAAACAAACAAAGTAAAATTAAAAAAAAAAAGAAAAAAGAGAGAGAAAAACACTAAAAACATGGTATTTTCAGCATACTAATGAATAGTAGAGTTCAAAATATTTTCTATTACTATTCTTTTTTCAAGTTTTGTTTTTGTTTTAAAACAGCTCACCAGCTCTGAGGCCTGGTGGTTGAGGCAGCCATATCCCAAATGGCTGACTGCACAGTTCAAGTCCCAGACACAGCAGCTTGAGGCTCATACTGGGCCATGTGTACGTTCATGTCTGTCATTGAGATGGAAACACGAAGGAAAAGGGATTGCTGTGTGACTACTCCCCATGGAAAGTGCTCTTGCCCTCCCCATCTCCATGTCTCTGACAAGTGAACACACCTTTTAGCAAAATTTAATTTTTTTTATAAGCAACATACCTATAAAAAGAAAAAAAATTACCTGCAGCTATTTCTTGTTGTTTTTGTTTTTCAACCATTTCCTTTTCTCGCTGTTCTTGTAATTTCTTTGCTCTTTCCAACCTGTCAAAAACAATTTAAGTACATTTAAAATAACACTTGATATAAACCAATATGTATATATTTCTCTACATGTATGCATGTACAGACACAAAAACACTTTACATAGAATTTTGAATTAATTTCCCTTTCCCAAATTGCTATTCATAACTGGAGAAACAGCGATCATTAATACCCATCAGTTATAAAGAAAAACATTTTTAATAGAATGAACAGTCAAAAATGACAAGTTTTTATAAATGTAGCTACCACCAAAAAAAATGGTTAAACTAAAAATTAAATCCTGTAAAAAACATTGAGAACTAGGGACATTTAAGGGTATGTTAAGAAGTAAATTATTTGACGTTACAGAATTATTTGACTTATTTTCTTAGGGGAAAATAAGTCAGGATGAGGATAATCAAAACATCCAGAACATTATTTTTTTTATATTTAAACACTTTACTACAGTCTTCAAATTAATAAAAAAGGCAAACATAAAATGGGCAAGTAATTCCTGCCATTCTTTGTAATCTAATAAAATGGGAGGTAGAGGACTCCTGTAATAGTAAATTGTTTCTAGTAGCTGAAGACTCTTTAATATGTTGTAAAGGGGAAAGACTTGGGAAAAAAGATGTTTGTTTTGGGGGCTATAATAATACAGTGGTAGTAAATTGTCAGGTGCTGAAATATACAATAAAGGAATTTAGCAATGTATAATTTTATTTCCTCTAATTAAGTGCATATGCAAGAAAGATGAAAGATTTAATTTGAAAAAACAAAAGAAACTTGCTACAGGGCACTTAAGCTCTGTGGAGAGAGAGAAAGGGAAGGCAAGACAGCACCCCATAGTGGATGGTCTCACAACAGTGCCTTCTCCATGTCTCTTTTTGGGAGTCTGAATGCACAGCACACATGCCCTGGCGTTTTTTTCAATGTCCGAGTCTGGACTCGAATCATACAAAGCCATCCATATACGATCCAACTACCTGAACCACTACACAATTACTGGCCCTGACTTCATCCTTGAGAATAAGTTTCTGATAAGTTACAATATAGTCATCTGAAAACTATTTCAAAACAGTTTAAAAAATTTGAATGATTAAAAAAACAAAGAAGCATGTCTACACATTAATTTCTTCCTAACCAAAAAATCCACCCTTCAGACGTCAATGCAGACAAGAAATATTCTGAAAAATAATTTCATGTAAACGTGTCACCTGGAAGATCACTAAGTAGTCTGGTTATGGAAAAATGTTTTAGATGCTAGTAATAGCTTCGCTTTCACACACCATTCACTAAGGTGAATGGAATGAAGATGGGGTCAGCTCACACCTTTGCTGCTGCTGTTCAGCTGGAGTTTCTGCCAGGCTGGGCTCACAGGGCAGCAGCACATCAGGTTACATTGTGATAACTGTATTTTTATAATGAAAAAAATACAAACTCAATTTCATAAAGGGGAAAAAATCAAAATCCATAGAGCATAATTTTCAGAATATGGGAAAAGAAGTTCTTGGATTTTATTTTACTTTTTTCTTCTATGAGTTGTTTTGAATCATTCTGTAGATTTCAGTCAGTCCTAGTATGTGTGGTCCCACAGTGACTCATCCTTGAAATAGAAAATTAAAAAACCAACACTCACAATGTTCTTCCAATTACTAGTAATAAACTTATAAGATCAAATAAACTGGCTTATAAGGTTTATCTATCATTTGCCACCTTCAAAATATCAATACTACTGACATGACTACATGTCTTTGTCTTCTCGATGGAAAAAAGGCAAAGTGACATAAAATCGAAAACAATAGTTCCTGAACTAGATTTCAGACTTGAAAAAGTTCAATTAGAAACAAAAATACTTGGGAGGCTAAGTTTCACAAGAAAAATGCATCAGTTAGTCACTGGAAAAAAACTGTTGCAGATGCTTCAATCTTTCTAGTTCAGTAAATAAGGAAATGTTTTAGGTTGAAAATTAACAAATGATTTGTGTTCTAGATAAAAGATGGAGAGATTTAATTCTTTACCCACAAACTGAAAGTACTCATTCTGTCCATACAATGGCAGCATCTACTTAAAGCTGAAAAAGGAAAGATGAACCAAATGAACAATACACCTACCTCCTAGCTAAAGCTTCTTGGGCATCCATTGCTGTGTTTCTGCCTCTGAAGGGAGGCGGGCTAGGAGTCCGGCTTAAGCTTCTGCTAAATCTTCTTGGTTTTTCAATTCTCTTCTTTCTATCTCTGTAATAAATCACATTTTACATGGCTCATTATACCTAACAATTACTTTGCTGAATACAAAATCAATTATATGGCTCAACAGAAATAAAAACGATACAAAAATATTACTCTGAGCCCTTTCTTTCCTTTCACCTGTTACACACATTACATAGATTGAATACGGCTAGTTTTTAAGGTTTTAACCACTCGTATTACAGCTGGACAAATTTTAAAAACACTGGTTGCTTCCAATCTTTTGCACGCTATACCTAATGTTGCCGAAACTAGTCTTAACATTATTCACGCTTTGTATTCAGGTAGGTCAATACATAGACAAATCGGACAGGTCAAATGTTCCTAGCACTTCAGTCTATTAAACACACTTGGGACCTGGTCCTAACTCTAGCAGTGAAGAGCTTACAACATGGTTGTTTTATATTTAAAAAAATAAAGCCAGAAGGCAAACATCACAGCTGAGGGGAGAGTGGAGAAGAGCGAACGCAAGCACTCCTTCAGGGGTCTTGGTCATGCCATATTCCTGTCAGGATCCTGGGTATATGTCCACACACAGCATGTTTTTAAAATCACTGGATCCAGGAATCAAACCAGGTTGGCCGGCTGTGGGACCTAGTTCCCTTAACCACTATGTAGTGGGGCTAACACAACATGGTGGTTTTGAGGATGAAAAGAGGCAACATGTGCAAAAGAGCTTTAACATATAGCATATGGTAGTCAAGCAATAAATGTTGGCTACTCTAATCACTAACTTTATACAATGAATTCAGTGGTCTAAACAATGAACCCTTAATAGACTACTCAGCTAACCTTCATGAGAGATTTACTGATTACATGAGAGTAAGCAAATGCTAGTTTTAGGTTTGTTCTCTACTGGTTAGGTTATGAGTAAAATCTGGCCATAATCTGTGAGTAAATCTGTGGTACAGAATTTTAATATTCCTAACTGACTCAAGAGAAGTAACACTGTGGGTGCCTATTAGATCTCATTGGGGACTATGGGCACAGCACATACCGACTCCTACTCCTTGTCCTACTCCTGCTCCTAGTCCTATGTCTGTGTCTTGACCTGGAGCGGGAACGAGACCGGATGCGTCGTTTTCTCTCCCTGCTTCTGGATCGTGACTTCTTCCTCTCTCTGCTTCTAGATCGAGACTTCTTCCGCTCCCTACTCCTGGATCGAGACTTCTTCCGTTCCCTGCTTCTACTACGGTGGCGTCTGAAATGAAAAAGTACAATCTGAAGTTACTCAGCTATCAATTTAATGATTCATATTATCAATTATTAGTATGTATAGTAAGGCATCAAGATAGGCAATTACTGTTTAGAGAAAGGATAATTCAAGTTTTCAAAGGAAAGAGGTACAACTTAGAAAACATTCATTCATGGAGCCAGAGATGGCGTGGTAGTTAGGGTGCTGGACTCCCATATGGTCAACCATAGTTTCAGTCCTGGACCTGGAAGCTTGCTTTCTCACTCCTCTTCTCTCTCCCCAAATTGAAGAACAAATAAGTAAATAAATAAAATTGAATCAATAATTAAAAAAAGGGAAACATTCATTTTCATTATGCCTCCGAGTAAAGCTTAACATGTCAAAACTGCAGGGCAGCAGTGGCGTAGATGTTACTGCACTAAACTCCTACATAGCTGACCAGTTGGAGTCCTGGATTCAGCAACTTGAAAATCATGCCAGGCTCATGTGCATCTATGTCCAAAATCCCAAGAGAAGGGACTGCAGTATGGCCTTCTCCTGCTGGGGGTTGACTCCTCACTTGCCCTCTCATTTTCTCTGCTCCTCTCAGAGCATACATGCCCTTAAATTTTTATATCTATCTATATATGTATATAAATATATATGCGTATATATGTATATAAAAACCCCAAAACTTTTCAATGTAGCCTACTCAAGATTCTATTTTACAGGTTAAAGTTTGTCTTACAAATGCATTTACAAAGTTTAAAATAAGAATCCAGTTTACCATAGAAAAATTCTAACAAGTTTGGCTACCACATGTTCTTTTCACCAGTCTCTTCAAGGTGATGTTGAACACTGGTGTTTCTTTTCCTTTTTTTTGCTACAGGGCATGTGCACTTGCCAGATAGACAGATTTAAAGTGAGAAATCACCCAAGGGGGATGGCCACACCACAATCCCTTCTCCATTCTCCAGCAATTTTGGGCACACACATACATGTACCCAGCCTGAGTTTTATGCCTCCAGGTCCGGGACTCGAATAGCAACAGGTCATGTGGGAGTCCAGTGCCTTAACCTCCATGCCACCTGCTGTCCCCAAACTTTGTTATCTTAAAACAACACAAAACACTGAAATTTGAACCACAGTTTCTTTTCTATACCACAACAAAAGAAAACCTAGTCAGAGTTTAGCACCAAACATGTTCTGTGTCACCAATTGTTCACTGGCTTAAACTATAGTAACAATTTCACAATATGACTTTTTTCACTACAGGACAAGGGAAATCTAGCCACCAACTGAACATGTTAAACATCCCTTATCTCCTAATCTTAGAAACCACTTCTCACTTATCAGAAAGCAAGTGGAAAAGGCTTTAGCTTGGTCAATTAGCAAAAAATACCAATTTCCTATCTGACAGTTTTTGGGGATTGCTGGGTTACTAAGAAATTTTATGTAACCTGAAGTCTGTCAAAAAGGCATCAAGCTGGGATCAGCTGATGGCATAATGGTTACATTGCTGGACTCCTATGTGGTGGACCCAGTGGCTTAAAACCCACACTGGTCATGTGTATGGCCCAAAATCCTGAGAGAAGGGACTGTGATGTGGCATTCCCTCTGGGGGGGTGATTTCTCGCTTTCTGCCCGTCTCTCCAGAGAACTATAGCAAAAACTTCTCCACGTTTAAAGGCATTAAGTTATCATACCCAGGGAACCAGCAGTTAGCGAAATGGCTATGTCGCTGGACTCCCAAGCAGTCGACCGTGGTTCGTGTCCCGGACACGGTGGCTTAAAACTCACGCCGGGCGCGTGTGCGTGCGTGCCCATCCCCCCTGGGGGGTGATTTCTCGCTTTCTGCCCGTCTCTCCAGAGAACTATAGCAAAAACTTCTCCACGTTTAAAGGCATTAAGTTATCATACCCAAACTACTCACCTTTCACGAGACCTAGATCTTGAATGACTTCTGCCTCTTGATGATTTTCTTTCCTTGCGTTTATGTCTGTCCTCACCGTTTTCAGATGAATTTAGTCGCTCTCTTCCTTTATCAGAAGAATGTTCTTTGTCATTATGGTCCTCAGACTTGTGTTTCTTAGCAGATTTATCTTTGGATTCATGTCTTCTTGCCTGTTTTAAGAAGAAGTTGGTTCTTTCAGGAAAATAGTGCAACAAAGAGAGTTAGTATGGGTATCAGTAGACAAAAATGTTGTGATGCAACATTAGTAACCTTAGGAGTGTGTGGCAAATAAAAAACTGATCTAATTTCACAACACCTAAATGTTGCAGATGTAGTTACTAGTTTTTTTCTTTATAACCCCCCAAAATATTTTCAATACCACAACAAAAACAATGATGTTCAAAGTTGAAATATTGAAAAACCATTATGTCAAAGGATTCCCTGATATTTATTTTATCCAAAAGAATATAGGTTATGTATATACAATGTCTAGACCCAGAGTACATATTTAAAAAGTCAGCAATAATGGAGACAATAAAGAATAAAGAAATGCACCAGAAAACGCACTTCAAATTAAGTACTTAAGTATAATTAATTTTACTAAAGCATTACTTTACATAGAGTTGCAGTGTCCCTTTTACAGTTATACTGCCTATACCATCCTCTCTAAGAGACTGGTTTACTCCTCAATGTCTAAACTGTGAAGTAATCACTTTACATCTTGCAATATCCCAACAGGCTTCGAGTTCTATTACATTTCATGTACCTAGGGTAGAAAATGGCAACATTATCTATTTAAATTTTTGAGATATCAAACTAGGTGTTAACACAATCTCTATGCCATCAAATACTTCCCCCATACTCTGAAAAGACTGAAAAACCAAGGCTTTCACAACATGTGCATTCAGAGACTCAGCTAAAATTAAATCTCTACCCTTCCACTCAAATATCAAAGTCGGAACTGCTAAATACCGTAGAGTTCGTTCACATTAAGATTTGTCTAACCCAAGCTTAAAATCAGGGACATCTCAGGATTTCTAAAATTTAAACCCAGAAATAAACTCAGATCTTCCAATTTAATCTTATTATATACATAATTAAACTAAATCATAAAGCTACACTAGAGTTGTGCTGTATACATGGACCCCATGTTTCTCTGACGTCCAGACCACCGTTTTCCCATAGGATAGACACTTATGTTTCCTGAAACAGGCCATAGCACTTTTCTTTCCAATGAAGACTAACTTAAAAAAAACAAAAAGCAAAAAAAAACCCTGAGGCAATCATTTAGAACATGCATGTTGTCATATCTGAAAATTGTAATTATGTAAGTAATTAAAAATAAAATTTGGAGACACAGCAAAATTTTGGTTTCATGGCCAGTTCTCTACAACATGAACTTAGAAAATTTTCTTTATTTTGCCATATAGTGGAAGACTGGAAAAGCTTTAATTGCCTAAACTTCCAAAGGTTTTAGATTTTATTTTGAACCAGTTTTCTAAACATAACATTACTTTAAAAAAAAAAAAACATTAAAACCCTTAACTGATTTAAGATATATTTAAGGGAAATAGGAGTTTGAATGACTAATAGTTACCTTATCATGAAGTAGGCTTATTATTTTGCTATCTGAGTCTGCAGCGTCTTCAGTTCAGTCTCTTCGCGCATTAGCACGCTGAGTATGATTTATTATAGAAATGTTATCATGTGAACTAAACAAAATAGTCATTTTCACAAAAACTCTCCTAAATTAAAGTTTAACAGAGCTTCCATTAGGGGAAGAGGTGAAGTCCCTGCCCATACTTGTTTTATGAGTCCCTTGCCCAACCCCCACAAACTATTCTCCCTCTGGTTGCTACTTCTGCTCTTCCTTGTTGGCTCATTCCTCTTCTTCTCAAGGTGGGAGAGCAAACTAACGCCTATGCAATACAGCTGTTGACTTTTTCCTCAGTATTTGCTGTCACACCACCTTTTCAGCTGTTCCTCACTGTTTTATTACAAGATTCAATACGACTAAAGGGAAATTAGTTTACTAAAGAAAAGAGAGCTATCATTATCTTTCATGAAGAAAAAGTAGCCCACAGGTATCTAGGGTACTGCTACTTAAAGATGATTGCTATTTAAAAACCCTGAGTGGTTGTCAGGCATACAGAGATCGGGACCTCAGATTAATGGAAGCTCTGTGTAACAGGCCTAAAAAAACCAATTATATTCTTCATATGAAATTTTTCACTGTGAATATTTCACACTATGTTAAAATTAAAGTTTTGAAGGTACTTTTCTTATAGACAACTATCTTCTTGAAAAATGACGAATCCAAATCATGCTTATTTTACAACCCAATTAACCTTTAAATTTCAAGTTTTGGTACTTACCTTGACAATGTCATATAGTCACACAAGCATTTTTACTAGATACTTTACATGTATTTTAAAGTACCTATTCACTACAAAGCGTTAATTACCTCTTTGCTTCTGCTCCGGCTCCTGTGTTTTCTTCCTTCATTATCTGTCAACATACCCAAAATCCACCATGAGGATACAGAAAAATCTCATCTTAAACAAATTCAAAAAACAGTTTTTAATCCGTTGGCTATTTATTCTTCTGATTAGTTATCTTCCAATGTTGTTATTTTTTATGGAAGGGGAATTGAAGCAATCTGGACCAGAATATAATCTAGAGCACAGACAGTATCTTTTATATAGTCACAGATTCTTGGTATTTTACAAAACAATTTCGTACTCCATAGCAAATTTATAAATGGGTTATTAGAGCTAAAAGAACAAAAAGTGAAAGAATGCAAATAAAATGAACAGGCTGAGTTATACTTGTTATGCTGCAAGTTTAGAAAATTTTCCATCTGAAGCTGGTCATATTACTCAACTTTTAAATTATACATAAAAATTATTTTGCAGAATATTTTCTGTAGGCGATGATAAATGACTACAGGTACAACTTTAAAATTCAGTATTATTCAGTATACTTCTCACTTAACCTCTTCATTCAATGGCAATGCTGATTTTTTTTTGGGGGGGGGGAGGTTTTTGCTATAGGGTGCATGTGCTCACCAGAGAGACAGAGAGATAGAAAGTGAGAAATCACCCCCCAGAGGGATGGTCACGCCACAATCTCTTCTCCATTCTCCTCTCGGGATCTTGGGCACGTAAGCACAAGCGCCTGGCATGAGTTTAAGCCACTGGGTCAGGGACTCAAACTGCTGTTGTCTACATGGGAGTCCAGTGACATAGCCATTACACTAACTGCTGGACCCAGAAAAGAGATTTTTACTATAGGGCACATGTGCTCATGGGAGAGAAAGACAGAAAGGGAGAAATCACCCCCCAGGGGGCATGGCCACACTGTAATCCCTTTTCTTCTGTTCTCCTCTTGGGATATTCAGCACACACACATGTGCCCTGTGTGAATTTTCAGTCACCGTGTCTGGGACTTGAACCACAGTCGACCACGTGGGAGCCCAGCAATGTAACCATTGCCACCTGTTGGTTCCCAATGCTGATTTTTTTTTTAAGCTACCAAAACATTTTGTCTCAGTTTCATCAACATCAGCTTAGTTTAATCTTTTTAAAATATTAAACATGAAGTATTTTGAAATGCCAAATCACCTGCTTCAAAAACTCGTAACATTAAGCTAAAGAGAAAAAGTTACAAATGTTCTCGAAACTTATTCCAAAGGACATTAAGGAAATTCAGAATAATATACTACTGGCCAGACTATACCTTTGAAAACACTATTCTGCCTGCATTCAAATAAAATTTAACCATCACAGAATTCATAAATAGTTACCATGATCCAAATTTAAACACTTATTTTTGCCTTTGGAGAGTTTTAACATTTCTCACAATTGAAATTGTTTCCAGAAAATGATCTTTCATTATATATTACCAAACTAAATTTGTATCTTTTATCTATGTCTACATGGATCAAAGAAAAAAAATATTAGGCAGGTATAATTTCCAAGAATCCATACCTGACTTTCGTTTTCTTTCTCTTGACCTTGATCGTGATCTTGAATAATGATGTTTTGAGGCTCTAGGAGAAACAGATACATCTGGCTGTTCTTTTTTCTTATCTCTATCTGGTGATGTCTTTTCTGGGGCTAGTCCATCTCGCTCTGTATCACTAGCCTAAAAGTTTAAAGAGAAAGGATTAAAATTCTTAATTATGTTAAAAATGTTTCTAATTTCTTTCTTTTGAGAGGTTTTTGGTAGGTCACGTGCACTCGCCAGAGAGACAGAAAGGAAATCCCCCCCCCCCTTATTTCCACACCACAGTCCCTTCTCTCTGGATCTTGAGTACGCACACACCCCAGTGAGTTTAAGCCACCGGGTCCAGGACTCAAACCACGGTCAACTACATGGGAGTCCAGCGACACTGCCATTACACCAATTGCTGGTCCCAAAAATGTTTCTAATTTCTTCAGAGTAAGAGAGAAGGACTGAAGTAGGAGGTAAAGATGACAGCCATCCTCTCCAATTTATCCCCCCCAATCAATAAATCAGAATGTAGCTATCTCTAAGTAGCTGAATATGCTTTGTACAAGCAGAAATGACTGATACCAGAGAAAAGGCATAAATTTTAGCTTGATGTTATCTTTAATTCTCTAATCATTATTTTTATAACACTTTAAATTATGAGGGGAGAATAAGGCTCTGTTTTTAATAAAACATTCAAGCAGAGAAAGTGATAACAAGCTCTTTTAGATCTGTGAACTCATTTAGCTGATCTAAATACTTTTATCTTGAATTGGAATACATTGAAAAAGCACTCAAAATGAATGTTAAAGACCCTCAAGACTGTAAGCTTTTCAAAAGGAGGTAAAAATGCTTCTAGATTACAGATGAATAAAATTAGTTTATCTAATAGCCTTGTCTTAGTTTCATTAATTCCCTTTAGAGAAAACAGCCTCTTGGTATAGTGCTACTACAAAATAGAACTTGCCTCTCTTCACATATGCTCTGGACTGGAATAACATTAAATTGTTTCTGCTTTACAGCATTTTACGATGTAAATTTGTTTAAAAATTAAAGCAACCATCAACTGTATATATGCTTTTCTGGAGAACTGAGTGACAGATATTAGGGTAAGTTCCTTCTCTTAAGTATTAGTTTCCCAAAAGGCCATTATTTATTTGCCTTACTCCTAAATACTATCACAGCACTGAAAACAATGTTTGAGAATGAATTCCAATGATTAAGTTTCCATTCAAACTGTTTTCCTGTGGTTCAGTTCAGCAGCTCAAACAAGAGTACCATAAAGTAAGAACCTGATTTAAGTTGGAGTTACAGAAAAAAAAGCTTCAAGGACAAAGAAAAAATTGAGTTTTCTTGAGATAGATTTTCATAAAAGGGAGTGGAAACAGTTTCAGTTCTATGTTGCAGGTGAACTGTGGTCGGCTGTCCAGAAAAGGTAATACAAGAATAAAACAGTCAATATACCTGGGGAGTTATTTAAGACAAGATGGTAAACTTCTGGACCTCAGTCTATTTCTGTATAGCCCTTGAGCCAAGAAAGATTTGCACATTTAGGCTTATTCATTTATTTCTTCTGATTGGAGAGAGAAGAGGCGAGGGAGAAGGCCCAGCAGGGTTCTACACTGCATCCACCCCAGCCAGTACAGGAAGCCCTAGAAGACAAGACCCAGGACCTTTCCTCATGGACCTAGTTGCATTATCACCTTGCTGTTGGGCCCCATTTTTCACATTTTTAAAAGGATTGTTAAAAACAAAGAGATAAAGGTAAAGAATGTGACAGAGACTACAGGTAACCTATGAAGCCCCCTACAAATTCTTTTTACATCTCCTGATCCATTACAGAAAGCGTATTGACTTATTACTTAGGACACCAGAAGCAATCTGCTTGGGTAAACAGAGAATCACTACACATTATCCAGCAGGAAGAATCAAATGATTTTTTTTTTTTTTTAGAGTTTTTTGCTATAGGGCGCGTGCGCTTGCCAGCCAGACAGAGACAGAGAGACAGAAAGCAAGAAATCACCCCCTCTTTGTCTGTCTGGCGAGCACAGGTGCCCTACAAAAAAAAAACCTCTCTTAAAAAAAAAAATGATTCCAGAAAATGAATACCAAGAAAAAGAAAGGAGGACTATTTTAATAAATGATGTGAGAGATTGCACTATTTCAATCATATTTACAGAGGTTAAAAAACTTGTCAAAACCAATGCTAAAATCTGGGAATAAAACGTTACATTATAAAAGAAAAAGATACGGGCTGACAGGTGGCATGGTGGTTAAGGACGCTGGATGCCCACATGGCCCACCGCTGTTGAGTACTGGACCTTGCAGGTTGCTTTCTCACTGTCTCTTTCCCCACCCTGCAGTCAAATTAAAATAAAGTTAAATAAAATCATTCTAGAAAAGATTAAAATTTAGTTTACTTGTGGTGAAGACATAAATTATGTGCTAATTTTTCCCCAAGGTTCTAAAAGAATTTTATGAAAGAGAAGGAAGTTAACTATCAAGGAGACCCTCATGGCAGGATGAAAGTACTTTCCCTTCTCCGGTACAGCATCAGTGACTTCAAGAGTCAACGTTTTGTGCTGATTAACTCTCATCCATTAGAAAAAAAGCCAGTTTCTCACTTTACAGCTGAACTCCAGCGTGTTTTGTGCTGAAAAACTCTCATCCATTAGAAAAAAAACCAGTTTCTCACTTTACAGCTGAACTCCAGCGACATTAGCTGACTCACCTAAAATAATACTGCACACTTCCATCTCTTTGCTGTATCTTTTAATAAATGAAGCTGTGTCACACAATTAGGGATGATTCTGATATTCAGAATCAATACTGGACATTTTCTTTTACACTCACCCTTATAATCCTATCACGTACTAAGTGTTTATACAACTTACACTTAGTAAAATAGAGAATCAAAAACTTAAGCCCGGCGATCACCTCAGCGCATAACACTGTTCACTGAACAGAGACAGCACCCTACTGGCAACATCTCATTCAGGGCTGCAGAGACCTACCTAGACTAGAATTGAAAACAACCATTTTATGGAAAAGCCAGCACACAGCCCAGGGAGTATAAAGTTTTCAATCAATGGTTTAACTACATTCTTACTATCACAGAAGCCTGGTGATAGAGAAATCAGGCTGTGAGACAGCTCGGTAACTTACACAATGGGTCATTTTCATTAGTAAAATATACTACAAGCAATAAAAACCACCCCATTACCAAACGGACATAAAGGGTAGGTGGCCGCTTAGCTCATGGCAAAACTTCATTTCTCCAGGGGTATTTTACAGTACCACGGTATAAGTATCCAGAAAAAGGAAAATCAACTGAATACTGAAATTGCTCTGAGTATTTCTTAGCTTTATTTCAATTTGGTGGGAATTTATACATAAATGTGTTGGCAAAATTATCTTCCACTTTAGCCTTGATTTTTATTATGTCACTTTCTTGCAACTTTCATCTTGTTGGAAATTCTACTAATAATCGTTTTCAGGCGCAAAGTCGGTAAGCATTGGGTTTAATAATGGGTCACTTCTCCAGAGAATTTTTTTTAATTGAACAAGGCACTGGAAGAACAAATGTTTGAATTGGTTTTACTTATCACAATACTGAAAATCAAGAAAAACAGTTACTCATTGTAAGAGGCCCCAAACACTAAAAGAAGAAAAACATTAATTTTACAAATACCGACAGGGTAGCCACGTATTGGAAACCTTATCAAAAACTGCCCTAAATCCAATCAATTAGATCCGTGGGGGGTAAAGGAGGAGGCAGAAAACCCCCTACCCTTAATTTCAGACATTATAAAGCAAATTAAAATTTTTCATTATGTTAATAGACCTACTTTCCGGAAACGAGAAGATGTGAAAAACGTGGTCCACCTGAATTTGGTATCTCATAAGGCTGATTTATTGTTCAGAACGGGTAATTTACGAACTGTAATTCTTATCTGGATCAAGGAAGGCTCCTCAGAGCTAAAGAAACAAGGCCAGTGATAGGATTTGATCACACTTATCAAAGACTTCCAACTGGCCGCACCACGAGCCGCGTGGGAAACCAAGCACCATTTCGTAGTTCCAAAACCTTATTAAGTCAGGCGAATTTTTACCTTTTCTCAGGGACGCCTAACCAGCTCCTTCCTGAGAAACGAAGGTTTACACAGACGAAGTGACAAAATTATGCAACTAGAAGCATCTTACTGAGCGTTTGCCAAAAAGAGCCAGCCTGCTCGCCTCTTCCCCCATCCTGTCGCTCAGACACCGCCTTTCTGACCCACCGCTTCCCAGCGACGAGTCCTGCTCTTTCTCTGCTCCCCAGTCCCCTTCTCCGCCAACGTGAACCCTCGGTCGGGCCGTAAGAAAATCCAACATGACCATTTCCCAGGGTGACAGAGAAACAGAAGGCAGATCGGGAGCCCAAAGTGCTGGGAAAGAGATGAGGAAAGTTCTGGAAAACCAGGCACTCCCTGCGGCTCCCCACCCCCACCGACACCGCCTTTCTTCCCCCTCCCTACAGCAGGCAGCCATGATGGCGGCCGCAGAAGGCCGCGGCGCCATTTTGTCCACACACAGACGCGGACAACAGCTGTGGGAGCCGTTCGCCCTCTCTTCGTAAAGAATAAGGAAAACGTCCCCGTTCATGTACTCAGATTCGGAACCTACCGCCATAGTCTAGAGTCCTGGCCGCTAGGGCGGCGCGTCTACTTGCCGCTTCCAACAGTACCG